CTGTTGTGCCTCTTTCACCAAGCAAGCTATTACTCTCCCTCTTTTACAGATAAGGAAGCTTCAGTAAAGTACAGTGACTTTAGTGGGGTCATACAGACTGGGACTTGAACCCAGATGTGCCTTGGCTCCAAGTCAAGAACTTGTCCCACTTTATCATGCTGCCTTGCCTCATAGATACTGCTGTTCTTGCTGCTATTTCCGGGGCCAGGAGTGGAATCAGTAAAGGCTGTGAAGCTGTGTATGGAGGAGGTGGCATCTGAGCTCAGTTTTGAATGAAACTTAAGGACTGTATTCCAGGCACAAAAAAGTAAGAAGGGTGGAAATATAGGCTAGGGACAGCTTGTGAAGGGATTTAAATGTTAAACAGAGGAATTTATATTTAATCCCAGAGGTAATAGGGAGTCACTGTAACAGGGAAGTGACATACTCTGAACTTTAAGAATATTACTTTGGCAGACATATAGAGAATGGACAGGAGAGAGACTTGAGGCAGGGAGATCAATTGGGGGCCAATGCGATAGGACAGGCAAGAGATGATGAGGGCCTGGATTGGAGGGTTGACTGTATGAGCGTAGAGAATGGGACAGATGTGCACACAGAATCAGTAAGATTTGGAATGTAGGATATATGAGGGAGTTAGGAGTTGAATACAACTGAGGCTCTGAACCTGGGCAGCTGGAAGGACGGCGATGATTTCAACAGAAATAGGATTGTTTAGAAGGTGGGAGGGCTTAGAGGGAATAATGAGATCTGCTGTAGATGTGTTGAGTTTGAGGTGGCTACAGGAATCCATGTTGAGATGTCTAAGAGGAAGCTAGAGATGTGTGACTATAACTCTGCAGAAAGGTTAGGGCTGACTATATAGATCTGAAAGTCATCTGCATAGGTATGATAATTAAACCCATGGGGGCTGATGAAGTCACCAAGAAAGAAAACAGAAGAGGGGCTAGGCCAGAGCCTTGGAGAACACCAACAGTTAGAGAATGAGATATGGTTGATTTGGCAAAAGATACTGAGAAGGAATGGTCAGAGAGGTAATAGGAGAATTAAAAAGACAGTCAGCTAGCTTGTAGCCTACCCAGGTCTTTCTCTAGAAATAACAGATTTCTCTAGAAATACACAGATAAAAGAACTCTCCCCTATCCCTACTCCCTTCCTCCAAATCTCAAGAAAATAGTCAAGTTAACAATCTCAGATGCAGTCACAGATGAGGGTCAGGTTTACTCCCCCAAACTGTGGCTCAATTCCATGTTATTTATTCCTCTAGCTCCAAGGCCACAAATTTGTTCCTGTTCTCTCCAGGAACTTCCCTTCTTTTCTCCAGAAAGCGGAGTCTAGGAAGTACCTCTTGCCCCTCCTCCAGGAGACTGAGGCTCAGGAACTCTCATTACTCTACCCCCAACCACTGTCACCTTTGGAATTATATTGTTCTCTCTTCTGGGGCTAAATGATTACCCTGCCTACAGTTATCTCTGAGAATCGACTGATGTCTCTCCACAGCTTAGCCTAGGAAGTCTTGTTATTACATCACTGCTGTGGCTACTATCTGCTCTGGGGCCAACAGGTTTGCTTTGTCTCTCCTCTAGGGCTGTGAAGTTGTATAGTTCCAGGGGTGGGGGAACTGACAACAGACAAGATTCATATTTTGGAAACCAAAGTCTTTTCTCAAGCCTTTAACCAGTGCTCAGTTTTCTCCAGATTTCTCTGACCCTTTCAAAGATCTATCTACAGACTTTTTATAAGCTTGAGTCTCAGCATGGGTTTGATTCTACAATATCTTTCTCTAATAAAATCCTCTTCCTACTCCCACATCCAGTCTCAATCCATCAATCAAAATATTTGCATCCATCAAGAAAGCACAAAGTTCTTCCCACCTACCAAGCATCCAAAATCAAAGACCCAAATAGTGGTCTCAGCCTTGCAGCTTATCAGGGTGACCAGGTCATCTCTTCATTTCCCACCCTGCTTCACTCCTCTGGGTTTCTCCATCGTGCCTCCATGAACCTCATCACTGCGTACCTCATCATCCTGCAAGATCAAATCAGCCTCGGTACTTGCACGTCACTTGTACCCTTTGCTCCTCTGACTGGATGGTGCAGCCATCAGCTCCAAAATCTGAATTTAAGGAGGAAGCCAAGCCAACCATCTCTTCATTTCCTACCTGGCTGCACTCCTTTGGATTTTTCTATCATATCCCCACACAGGGGACACCTTCAATTTTCAGCTTCCTTTGGGGTGTCATCTCCCCCTATTAGGTTATACGTTTTTTGAGGGCAGGAACTTTTTCTTATTCATATTTGTATCCCTAGTGCTTAGCACAGTGTCTGGCACATAGCTAACATAATTAACTGCCCGACTAGTCACACACTTTAAGTAGGATTGCAACTCAAATGGCTTTATAACAGTGAAAGCCCCAAGGTTTCCTTTCTCTCTGGTCTTTTTTATTCAGGTTAAAGGTTCCAGAACATATTATACATTTCATAAAAGAAATAATTCACACTATAAAAATCAGTATATAGGGGAAATCCTGAAAATGTCCTACAATAATCTCAGGCATTTCCATCACTGATGGTCCAGCCCAGAAATAGGATGACTGATATTGGAATTATAAAGTCAGCAATTATAAAGCCAGGCTCATCACTGCTGGCTATCATCCTATATCCTTCCTCCCCTTAGTTGTTAAATTCATAAGAATAATGTCTACAACTGGTGCCTCCATTTCCTCTTTTCATACTCTTCTAAACCCTCTGCCATGGTAGCTTTAGACCTTCATCATCCAACTGAAACTGCTTTCTTCAAAGTCACCAATGATCTAATGCCAAATCTAATCTTTTCTTAATCCTTACCTCCTTGACCTTTCTATAGCATTTGACCTTGTGGATCATCACTTCCTTTCAGACACTTTCTGCTCTTTAGGGTTTTGTGACACCACTCTCTTCTGCTTCTCCTCCTATCTATCCAACTGCTCCTTCTCAGTCTCCTTTGTTGGCTCTTTATCCATATTATTCCCACTAACCAAGGGAGAAAGGGAATAAGCATTTATTAAGTGCATTCTATGTGCCAGGCACTGAGGTAGGCACTGGGTTTACAAATACAAAGAACAAAACAATCTCTACTTTCAAGAAGTGGGTGTAGCAGCAGCCCTGGAGTTAGGAAGACCTAAATTCAAATCTGGCCTCAGACATATCCTAGCTATGTGACCCTGGGCAAATCACTTAACCTTGTTTGCCTCCACTTTCTCATCTGTAAAATGAGCTGAAGAAGGAAACGGCCCTTCAAGAAAACCCCCAATGAGGTCATGAAGAGTCAAAAATGACTAATCAGAAAAACAATTCTAGTGGGAAAAAGAGACGTAAATCTATACTTCTATTCAGAACAAATATAATTAAACACAAAGTAGTCAAGTTCAAGGTAATTTGGAAGAGAGGCCATAAACACTTATTAAGTGTCCACTAGTGCTGGGCACAGGCCTCAATGCTAGAGATACGAATATAATACTCTCAAGGTACTTATATTCTACTGGAGAAGCAACATGGGTTGATAAAGATATATGAAGAATAAATATAAAGAGAATAAATCCAAGGGAGTTAGGGCACAAAGAGTTGGTGGAGTCAGAAGGTGGTCTTGAGGTAGAAGGTGAATCTTGAGTTATGTCTCGAAGGAAAAGAAGGATGCTTTTAAAGCCCATCATAACTTGGACACTTCCTACTTGTCCAGTCATCTTATGCCCTACTTCCCTCTACATACTCTGTAGTTCAGGGACACCAACCTCCAAGGTTATATCTGGAACTCTTCCTCTATACCTCCTGGCTTCCTTCAAGTCTCAGCTAAAATCTCACCTGCAAGAAGTCTTTCCCAGTCCATCTCAATGTCTCCAATTTATTTTTTATATATTTTGTTTGTATATTGTAGTCTCCATCCTCCAATTAGATTATAAGCTTCTTGAGGACAAGGGTTGTTTTTGTCTTTCTTAACACAATGTCAGGTACATAGTAAGTTCTTACAAAATGCTTGTCTTAACTCGAAGGAGAAAATGAAAAAGGAATGAATGCCAAGGAGGGTGGATAGCTTGTGTAAAGGTTTGTATAAAGAGAGATGGGAGATGAGATGCTGTATGTGAGGGACAGCAAGAAGGCCAGTTTGGTTGAACTATAGAGTGCAGTAAAGGGAATATGTATAATGAGGCCAGAAAGATAGGTTCTAGCCAGGTTGCGAAGAGTTTTATAAAAAAAACAAGGGAATTTACATTTTATCATAGCAGTAATAGGGAACCACTGGTATTTACTGAATAAGAGAGTAACATGAACAGATCTGCAATTAAGAAAAATCACTTTGGCAGTTGAATGGAGGACAAAGTGTGAAAAAATCTGAGCCAGGGAGAATAACCTGAAAGTTGCTGCAATAGCCTGGGCAAAAAGCAATATGGGCCTGAATTATGGTGGTGACTGTATGAGCAGAAAGGATGAGAGATGCTATGTAGGTGAAAAGGCAACACTTGACAACTGACTACAGAACTGATGTTATGTAGAATAAGGGAGAATGCAGAGTCTAGGATAATGACAAGGTAATGAACTTGTGAGACAGAAAGGAGGGTATTTACTTCCACACAGGATCTATGAATTTAAATGAGTTTATCAAATGAACTATGAACAAATAAAAAAGCTTGGAATTGAATTGCAACTAAAGTTCATTGTGCCTTTTCTGTTCTTACGAGAGATTTTGTAGATGAATCTGTGATACTTCAGTGAGCAGAGGATACATGTGTCCATTTAGAATAGGAACAAGAATTTCTGGTGTGACAAAATAAAATGTTTCTGTACAGAATTTCAAATGAGGAAAAAAAATAAATTTGATGCTAACTATGAAGCCCAAGCAGAATTTAGGACAAGGGTGAGGATGGATAGTACATACAATATAACCAACTTAGACCATTTGTAATGCTAACCTTAGAATAACTCAGAACGCACATCACATTATAAAAAAGTCAATGCTTTGCTTACTGTTTGAGATTTCTTCTTTTTCTTTTTCATGGATCTAAAAAAGCCCTGCTTCTCCTTCTCCTTTAGTTGTTCAGCATGACTAATATTTTCAGGGCTTTTCCTAAATGGAAAAACATTGTAATTGTGTTAATAAACATTTAATGATTTTTCATATGACGAAGAAAAGTGTTACCATCCAAAATGTATGACTTTAGGCTTAAAAAGAGCTACATAAAGAACTAAGCAAGAAAAAAATGCAAAAATATTCTTATGGAAACTAAGCATGGTAAGATTGCAGTTATTCTAGCCAGAGTTAATGGAACCAATCTATTACTTTAGCAGAGGTTACAGGAATGATACCATGTTGATTAGAACCCTTACCATTCAAGATTCTGAATAACATGTGAACTAAAGGATTGACCATCTACAAAGTAGAACTGCAGGCATTTTGATACATTTCCCCTTAAACCCACAACTGGATCAACTGTAATTAAGCATAAAAATAGTATTTCTACTGAGTCATTGTGAAAAAAAAGTCAAAGATTTAAAAACTAGGTTTCCTTTAAAGCCCAATTAAGAAAAATAACAAATGGGGAGAGGGGGGTGGAGAAAAACTACATACAATGTATGTTTTATCACCAAGTAATATTAAAGAGGAAAAAAAAAGGTTTTGAGTTGAATTAGTTATGTAAGCTTATATCCAATGGCACTGATAAATATTATTTTAATGAAAAATAAAAAAAAGTTAGAAATAGATAATATTAATAATAACTCATTTACCTTAATGTTAAAAAGAAGAACTGTATAACTTAGCTTAATTATTTTTCACAAGGTTACTTTGAAAATCAAATGAGATAAATCACGTAAAAGTAGTTGGACGAATACCTATATAAATGTAAACTATTATTATTTTTAAAGCAGTTGAACTACAATTATTCTAGAAAGTAGAAATCTTGCCTGCTTTTATAAAATGATGAAAAATTATAACTACAAATAAAATAAAAAATTACTTTTTTCCATGACAGAATTTTATCCTTTTATACTTAACACCTAAAGCAGACCAGGAGCAGAAAATTAAAAAAAAAAAAGCTTTCAATGAATGAGGTAATTAAAGGAACTGCAGTTAATCCATATTTGTGTCTTTATAAACACAAAATAGTGATTTATAGATGAAAAGAAATAAGGACATATCTACAAAGTAGACATCTTCTGCCTACATTTGGCTAAATCAAAACACAAATGGGAAAAAGAATGAAAAGGACCATGGTGAAATCAATTTATAAAAATGGGACACTAAAATCAAGGGCAGGGGGGAACAGATAGAAAGAAATGAGAATGTTAGAGGCAAGAAAAATGACTGACACATAACAATGGCTTTTTGTGCATTTAGAGCATAAAACTGCTTCAGTAATTAATAGGTGAAATTGAAAAGAATATCCTAAGGAAGTACAACTTCCCTTAGGAAAACTTTCCAAGTGCCTGTGAATATTATTAAAAAGAGGGCAACATTTTTTCACTCCATTTCCCTCCACGCTATTTCATTATAATACAAGAAGTAAAACAATGTTCTTCCTCTTGAAGTAAATGTCTTTAAGCAAAAAAATACTTTGGAAGTCAATTCAGATTGATAGCCCTTAATAATGGAAATTTTCAGACATGAGGGGTATAGTGAGAATTGAAGATTCTCCAATGACAACAATGACAAGAAGTGATTCTAAATGATTCCTTGAGGTGTTACTAAGGAGATGGCTGGTTCCTTCAAACACAACGAGCAGATCATTAAATTACTGAAACTTCATGCCTCCTAATGAGTGAATTCCTCTGATGACAAAGCCTTTGTGGAATACCAATAATGAAATCCCCCTCTGAAAGGGATCTAAGACTGTATACCAGACTGTATTTCATGGCAAAATTATAGAGAGGCCCCAGTGCAGAAACAACATTATCATTCTTCTTTTATTTGTAAATATGCAGATAGAAATATCAATTTCCTTTCTTGATAATGCTAAATAAGCACTGTCATATATGCCCCAGGATCACAGAAGAATTCTTAAAGATGGATTCCATCAACTGATGTTAACACTCTAATCAAATTTCAAAGGTTTTAGCTTGTGCTTATGACCAAAATAACTTTCCTTAAGTCTTTTTTAAATGAAATTCAAAGAGAAAGAAACTAGGATGACCTGACAAAAGATATGAAGAGTAGGGGCAACTAATAAAAAAGATAAAATAGCTAAAGGCAACCTAGAACATACCAGAAACTGAGCTCAGAGAATATGAGCATAATATTTTGTTCCTAAAACAGAAAAGTTGAAATATTTCCACAAGCAGGATGAAATAATGGGTACCAGTTGAGTTGGGGTTCAGGTTGCTATACAAAGAATTTTCATTATGAAGCTAGAGGGACAAGAGTTCAGACTAGTTTTGAAGTCTACATTTTGAATACATTTAACTACATCTGAAGTCACTTTTTCTTATGGTTAAAAACCCCAGGTGGTAGAGCCAAGATGGCAGAGTAAAAGCAGTGACTTGCTTGAGCTCTCCCCTAAACCCCTCCAAATACCTGTAAAAAATGGTTCTAAACAAATTCTAGAGCAGCAGAACCCAGAAAAAGTCAGAGTGAAACAAATTTCCAGCCCAAGACAACCTGGATGGCTGATGGGAAAGATCTGCTGTGCCAGGTTGGGAGAGGAGCACAGTTCAATGTGGCCCATGCAGGCAAAGACCTGGAGCAGTCCTCAGAGGACTTAATCACCAGCAGCTGTAGCGGTTTCCAGATTTCTCAATCCACAAACACAAAAGACAACTTAGAAGGTCAGTAGGAAAGGTCTGTTAGACCTGGGTGAGAGACATCATGGTCCAGCCCTAGTCCTGGCACAGCCCTGGGGCAGTGACTGCTTCTGGAGCTCTTGGCCCACAGACAGAGGAGGGATCCAACAGCTGATCCAAGGGGGATTGCAGGGATCTCTTTGCTGGTACTAAGGCAGGATTCTCTTGCTTTGCCTCTGCTTGGATCTGGGTTGCAGTCTTAGGTTCTGGTGTGGTGGAGAGGCAATCATCCTCACAGTTCCAAGGCAGAAAAGAGTGCTTGTGGTCACTCATAGACCACAGCACAGGCCAGGAAAGGAGTAAACACCTTGATCATACCACCTCGGAAAAACTGAAAATTTACAGGTACCAAGAAGTATCTCTGAAAATAGCTGCGCAAAACCCCTGAAGCTTGGGACCTCTACACTGGAAGCACACCCCAACCTCAAGAAAGAGTTAAAAAGTCATGTAACTGGCTGGGAACATAAGCAAAGTGCACACAAAAAAGTCAGACCACAGAATCTTACTTTGGTGACTAAGAAGATCAAAACATGCAACCAGAAGAAGACAACAAAGTCAAAGCTCCTACATCCAAAGCCTCCAAGAAAAATATGAATCAGTCCCAGGCCTTGGAAGAGCTCAAAAAATATTTTGAAAATCAAGTAAGAGAAGTAGAGGAAAAATTGGGAAGAGAAATGAGAGTGGTGCACGAAAATCATGAAAAGCAAGTCAACAGCTTGCTAAAGGAGATTAAAAAAAAACCAAAAACCACTGAAGAAAATAACACCTCAAAAAATAGCCTAATCCAAATGGCAAAAGAGGTCCAAAAAGCCAATGAAGAGAAGTATACCTTAAAAAGCAGAACTGGTCAAATGGAAAATGAAGTTCAAAAGCTTACTGAAGAAAATAATTTCTTAAAAATTAGAATGGAGCAAATGGAAGCTAATGACAATGAGAAATCAAGAAACTATAAGATGAAACCAAAAGAATGAAAAAATAGAAAACAATGTGAAATATCTCACTGGAAAAACAACTGACCTGGAAGATAAATCCAGGAGAGAGAATTTAAAAATTACTGGACTACCTGTAAGCCATGATCAAAAAAAGAGCCTAGACATCATCTTTCAAGAAATTATCAAAGAAAACTGCCCTGAGAGGGTAAAATAGAAATTGAAAGAATCTACCAATCACCTCCTGAAAGAGATCCCCAAAAGAAAACTCCTAGGAATATTATAGTCAAATTCCAGAGTTCCCAGGTTAAGGAGAAAATATTGCAAGCAGCCAGAAAGAAACAATTCAAGTATTGTGGAAACACAATCAAGATAACACAAGATATAGCAGCTTCTACATTAAGGGATAGAAGGGCTTGGAATATGATATTCTGGAGGTCAAAGGAGCTAGGATTAAAACCAAGAATCACCTACCCAGCAAAACTGAGTACAATTCTTCTGGGGAAAAAAATGGACATTCAGTGAAATGGAGGACTTTCAAGCATTCTTGATGAAAAGACTAGAGCTGAACAGAAAATCTGACTTTCTAATATAAGACTCAAGAAAAGCATGAAAAGGTAAACAGGAAAGAGAAATCATAAGGGACTTATTACAGTTGGACTGTTTAAATTCCTACATGGAAAGATGATATTTGTAATTCATGAGACTTTTCTCAGGATTAGGGTAGTTGGAGGGGGAAAAGAAATATATATATATATACATATATATATGTATATATATATATATATATGTATACACATATACATATATGTATGTATATATATATACATATATATGTATATATATGCATATATATGTGTGTGTGTGTGTATGTGTGTGTGTGTGTGTATGGAGAGAGAGATATGTACATATAGATATACACAGACAAAGGGCATAGGGTGAATTGAAGATGAAAGGATGATATCTAAAAAATAAAATTAAGGGGTGAGAGAGGATTATACTGGGAAAAGGAGAAAGGAAGAGGCAGAATGGGGTAAATTATCTTACATAAAACAGACAAGAAAAAGCTCTCAGAGTAGAGGGGAAGTGGGGGAAGGTGAAAGAGAATGAGTGAATCTTACTCTCACTGGATTTGGCTTAAGGAGGGAATAACATACACACTCAATTGGGTATGGAAATCTATCTTACCTTACAGGAAAATAGGAGGAAAGGAGATAAGAAACGGGGGATGATAGAAAGAGGGTAGATTGGGGGAGGGGTAATCAGAAGCAAACACTTTTGAGGAAGGACAGGGTCAAAGGACAGAATAGAATAAATCGGGGGGGATAGGATGAAGGGAAATACAGTTATTTTTTCACAACAT